ACATATGATATCTATAATTAATTCATAATATTTTTCACCATATTTTCTCTAATTTTTTGATCCACATTATGAATATGAAAAATAAATAATGGCTAACAAAAATAATATATTTCCTTTCATTTTTTTATATATAAAGATGGACAAATAACATGAAAAAATAACGTATTTTAACTTGATTCTCACTTTAGATAATGTACTTTCAAAACTTTCATTTTGGTACCTAAAATGTAAAATTTTAAACATGTAAGTACATGGATAACCGGTTGAAACTTTAACCAATTACCATGTTGATGTGCCGAGTGATGTGGTATCCAACTCAATATTTTTTGCTGAAGTCTTAACCAGATACCACATCACTCGTCACATCAGCATGGTAACCGGTTAACCCGGATACTTAAATGTTTAAAACTTTACATCTTAGGTATTAAAATGAAAATTCTAAAAGTACATTACCTAAAATAGAAATCAAGTTAAAGATTGTTATTTTTTCATGCAATTTACCCTATAAAAATTTATTCATTCAAAAAAATACAAGGATTTTTTAACAACAAGAGAGAAATAATTTATAATATATTCTCAACAATAAGAGCTTTTAAAATCAAATTATTAGAAAAAAATATATTTTACAAAAATAAATAAAATATTTTAATATTATAATCAATATTATAATTTAAAAAATAGAAAATTTAAATTTTTTAAAGTTACATTCTCTATTTTTTTTTTAAATTGAACAAAATATAAAAATGTCAAACTTTTGCCGTTAAAGGATAAACGGAGCATGTTACGGCGAGGAATCTATCCTTAACTGGACCTTCTTTTTCAATTCAAAAATGGCGCAACTATCAACACCATAAACACAGAGAGAAACGTTGAACTTTTGAGCCAAACCACCACACTCATCATCACTACACATATATATTCATATAAACAAATCGCCATTGAAGAAAACCAAGCAAAACCCACTATACTCTCGCACATGATCTCATCGTTCCCCATAAAACCCTAACAATGGAGATGGAGGTCAATCACTTGTACGTTATGCTTCTTTCACTTGTTCCATCCACACCCGCCTCTTTCCGTCTCCAATTGTTAAATCGAAAACAAAAAAAGAGACCCACAAATCAAGAAATTAATTTGCAGAACCCCGAGGTAGAAGACGATAATGGAGGTAAATGTGAAATGGTTGTTATGATTAACAGAGATTGCTATGTATCTATCTCTTATAAGAAAACGAATAGGGTTTTTTAATTAATCTTTGGTTACTGTTCCCAATTTCTCTGTCTCTCCTTTTCTTGCTTTCCTCCAAAGCAATTTTTATTTGTCTAATTAACGAATACGAGTTTAAAGCGTTAGTTTTAGAGGGAGAAAGTGAAGAAACACATCGATGCAACAAAACCCAGAAGTTTAATCTGGGAAGTGACGAATTTGCAAATGCCGATGTTAAGGCATTACCACTATTATCTCTTCTTGCTTCTATCAATTGTTGTTTTTGTTGTTGATGCTTCAAACGATGAAGCTGTTGTTTTGCTTTCATGGCTTCATTCGCCATCACCAATTTCACCACATTCTTCTTTTTCAAACTGGAACCCATCTGATGAAAACCCTTGTGATTGGTCTTACATCACTTGTTCTTCACAAAAACATGTTACCCAAATCAATATCCAGTCTATCGAATTAGCTCTTCCTTTTCCTTCCAATCTTTCATCGTTTAGATTTCTTGAAACTCTTGTAATTTCAGGTGCTAATTTGACTGGAAAGATCCCAGATGAGATTGGAGAATGTAATGCACTCCAGGTGTTTGATGTAAGTTCTAACAGCCTTATTGGGAGTATTCCAACTTCAATCGGTAAGCTTTTGAACCTTCAAGATTTAACATTGAACTCCAATCAACTTACTGGAACAATCCCACAACAAATTGGTAATTGTTCAAGCTTGAAGAATCTTGTTTTGTTTGATAATTACTTAACTGGAGAGCTTCCAGTTGAGCTAGGAAATCTTCAGATGTTAGAAGTTATTAGAGCTGGAGGAAACAAAGAGATTTCTGGAATGATTCCTAGTACATTGGGTAACTGTCAAAATCTCGAAATTCTGGGTCTTGCTGCCACCAAGATTTCGGGTTCGATTCCTAGATCTTTAGGTAGTCTAACCAAGCTTCGAACCTTTTCGGTTTACACGACACAGCTTTCAGGAATCATCCCACAAGAACTCGGCAACTGTTCTGAGCTTGTTGATTTATATCTATACGAAAATGGTCTTTCTGGCTCACTTCCATCTGAATTCGGGAATCTTCACAAGTTAGAAAAGATGTTATTATGGCAAAACAATCTTTTCGGACCGATACCTCCAGAAATCGGGAACTGTAGAAGTTTGAAAACCATTGATCTATCTTTGAACTTCTTTTCTGGTGGCATTCCTTGGTCACTTGGCAATCTGGTCAATCTAGAAGAGTTGATGCTGAGTAACAACAATCTTTCAGGCTCGATTCCACCCGTTCTTGCAAACTGTACCCATCTCATACAGCTGCAGCTCGATAGAAATGGTTTAATGGGTTCGATCCCACTGGAGTTAGGGATGTTATCTGAGTTATCAGTGTTCTTCGCTTGGCAGAACAAACTCGAAGGAATTATACCTTCAACAATGGCAGGTTTGGTGAGCCTTCAGTCTCTAGATTTGTCTCATAACTTTCTTTCTGGTAGCTTACCGTCTGGTTTATTTGATCTGAAGAATCTAACGAAGCTTTTATTGATCTCAAACGATATTTCTGGCTCAATCCCGTCTTCCATAGGGAATTGCAGCTCACTAATTAGACTTAGGCTAGTAAACAACAAGATCAGCGGGCAGATTCCAAAAGAAATCGGGTTTCTTGAGAATATTGATTTTCTTGATGTTTCTGATAACGATCTCACCGGGGAAATCCCGGATGAAATTGGAAACTGCACACGTCTTCAAATGCTGAATCTTAGTAATAACACCCTTTCTGGCACTTTACCTAGCTCACTAGCTTCATTAACCAACCTTCAAGCATTAGATATTTCCAACAATCGGTTTGTCGGTCAGATTCCCGAGAGTTTTGGGCAGTTGGCTTTCATCAATAGACTTGTAATCAATAGAAATTTCTTTTCTGGATCGATCCCGACAACTCTTGGTCGATGTTCCAATCTCCAGTTTCTCGATCTTGGCGGTAACAGGTTATCTGGTAACATTCCGGTGGAGCTTTTCAGTTTGGTTTCGTTAGATATCGCATTAAATTTGAGTTGGAATTTCTTAAATGGAACAATTCCATCGGAAATATCGTCTTTAAACAAGCTTTCTGCTCTAGATCTTTCGCACAATATGCTTGAAGGAGACTTGATGGCTCTTTCTGGGCTCGTGAATCTTGTCTCCTTGAATGTTTCTTACAACAATTTTACGGGTTTTCTCCCCAACACCAAGCTTTTCCATTTGTTATCGGCCCAAGAATTTGATGGAAATGAAGGGTTGTGCCCTTTGGGACATAAATCTTGTTTCATTGGCCAAAGCGGTGGAACCGGAATTGCTGACAAAAGGGGTATTCGGCAGTCGAAGAAACTCAAAGTTGCTATCGCTTTATTAGCTATTGCAGCTGTGGCATTGGTCGTTCTTGGGGTGATAGCCGTTTATCGAGTTCCGAAATCGAAGTCCCAAGATACCGATTCTGAAACGGGTGGTTGGAGTTCATCAAACTGGAAATTTACGCCATTTCAGAAGCTTAGTTTTACAATCGATCAAATCTTGAGATGTTTAGTTGAGACCAATGTGATCGGAAAGGGCTGTTCGGGTGTCGTTTATCGTGCAAATCTTGACCATGGTGAAGTGATTGCTGTCAAGAAACTGTGGCCGACGACAACGGCAACAGCTTACTGTCGAAATGATCATCATGCAGCCTCGAGTGTGGTTCGCGATTCTTTTTCGACCGAGGTCAAAACCCTCGGCTTGATTCGTCACAAGAACATAGTCCGGTTCTTGGGTTGTTGCTGGAATCGAAACACGAGGCTGCTTATGTATGATTACATGCCGAATGGGAGTTTGGGCGCTGTTCTTCATGAAAACAGTGGCTGCTGCTTGGAATGGAACTTACGGTATCAGATAATCTTGGGTTCGGCTCAAGGATTGGCTTATTTACACCACGATTGTGTTCCTCCGATCGTTCATAGGGATATTAAGGCGAACAACATCCTCATTGGCCTAGATTTCGAACCTTATATAGCAGATTTCGGCCTCGCAAAACTCGTTGACGATAGAGATTTTGCTCGATCTTCAAGCACCGTCGCGGGTTCTTTTGGTTACATCGCTCCAGGTTCGTTCTATTATGTTCAAATTTGTCGATTCTTTATCGCTAAAAAACTTCATTTTAGTTAATTTCCAACAATATTGGTTTTACAAGACGCCAAAGATGTCTAAATGTCCTAACAGATTGCATAATTGAACTAAACAACTGTTTGTCTTATATAATATGTTACAATAAGTTGATATGATTTTAGGTCAATTTTGAAATAAAACGTCTTATTTATCTTTTTACACGACATTATTTGAAAAGGTATCTTACAAATACGTACTAACATCCTATTGTAACACGTTTATATAAGACACAAAACTGTTTGGTCATATGAACTTAAGTTTTATAAAACAGTCTGTTGGTACATTTAGGGTTTGTTTGTTAGCAGTTTAATGAGTTTAATGAAACTCACAGCTTATTCAGTCAACTATACATGATTGTTCGGCAGTGACTTAATGATATAGAATGTGACCTCTCCCATAAGCTTCATGGAGAGCTTTATGCAGAAAGCCATGTTTTTTTTTTCCAAATCTGCCCCTCTCGGTTAGAGAAGACGCTCCTTTCATATATGAAAAACTCTTTCCAAACAAAAACCTTTCCAATCTATATAGACAAATTAGTCCATACAGATAACTTTATTTGGCTTAATGGAAAACCAGCTAAATAGCCGCTTAGACATTTTTGGCGTGTTATAAAGCAGCGTTTGTTGTAGCTGTTGCAACGTAACTGAAAATTGTCACAATATGCAGAGATTGGGTACATGATGAAAGTAACGGAAAAGAGCGACGTATACAGCTTTGGTGTCGTGATGCTCGAAGTCTTGACCGGGAAGCAGCCGATCGACCCGACCATCGAAGACGGGCTGCACATCGTGGACTGGGTTCGACAGAAACGAGGTGCGGTCGAAGTGCTGGACTCGTGCCTACGGGCTCGGCCCGACCCCGAGCTTGAGGAGATGATGCAAACGCTCGGTGTGGCTTTGCTCTGTGTTGCCCCGTCCCCGGACGATCGACCGTCCATGAAAGACGTGGAAGCAATGTTGACGGAAATTAGGCACGATCGTGAGGAGGGTTCGAAAGCCGAGACCACGATGATTCTTAAAGGAGAAGAAAACCGAAAGGCGTGTGAAGGCCCGTCCACGGATGCAATGAAGTGCTTGTACATTGAAAGCAATAACTCGAGCTTTGATGCTTCATCGCTGTTGTACTCGTCTTCGGCGAATGCCGAAAAAGATGGAGTTTAGGTTTAGAGGTTTTAGAGATTGATTGTAGATCTGTTGAATTAGAGAGTTTCTCTAGCTTCTAGTTCAGTTCAAAATAAATGTATCTGCTTAATGGCTTTTTTGGAGAGTAATCTAATTGGATTTCACATATTCACAGAGTGATTGCGATGTTGATCTATCGATCGACCAGTATTCAGACACGTTTCAATCTTTTTGGAGGCCTTTTTACACCTTAAAACTTTCGTTTACACTACATAATGAGATAACAAAGACACATATATACAATTTGGTAAAATTGTATGAAAAAATAACGTACTTTAACTTGATTCATATTTTGGGTAACGCAGTTTCAAAACTTTTACTTTGATACCTAAAATGTAAAGTTTTAAACATTTAAGTACCTGAGGTAACCGGTTGAAGACTAATCTTAGATTTAAAAAAAAAGACTAATTTTAGAATAAAAAATCCATATCACTAGCCACATCAGCAATTATACTGAGTCGAATACCATGTCACTCGCTACATCAGCATGATAACCGGTTAATGCTTCAACTGGTTACCCGGGTATTTAAATGTTTAAAACTTTACATTTTAGGTACCAAAATGAAAATTTTGAAAATACGTTATCCAAAATAAGAATCAAGTTAAAGTACATTAATTTTGAAATTTGAATAAACTTGTGGTCCCTATTTTTGTGAATCTACTATCAAATCTCCATTAATATTTTTTAATAACTGGTTTTTGTTTACAAAACTATGATACATTTTTTTGTTCTCAAAGTTATAATGTGTATCCTTAATTATACCGAAGACACAATATCATTTATTGTTTGTTAGTTGCTGAATGATTTGATACAAAATGATTAAGTGGTCAAAATAATTAAGAGACTCACATGATGCAGTACAAAATGAAATATAATTGTTTGGTAACTGTTTACAATGAAATTAGGGCGCTAAATGGTTAAGAGAGGCCCATGATGTAAAGTCATCTAGAGAATTTTAGAACTATTAAGAGGTAAAAAAAATCCAAACAAGATTCACCTCTTAACGATTCAGAGACTGTCTCTTAATAAAACTATTAAGAGGTAAACAAACAACCCTTAATATATTTCAAAAAAAGAAGGTTTTAAATGTACATTTTAAAAAACTTAGGGGCCGTTTACCAAACGCTATCCGGGTAAGAATTTATTGGTAAAATTCAATACAATCACTTACTTATCGGGTAAGATTTCAGTTCACCAAAACGATATCGTATACAATAATTTACCCGGTAAACGCTAACCGTGGTAAGAGTCGTCGTCTTTTTACCGGGTAAGACTCTAGATCCTTGTCTTCGTTCTCACCTGATAAGATTATTGGTTCTTCCCATATTCATGAGTAAAGTAATATAACTTGATAAACACTTACCAGGTAAGTGTTTGATAAACGGCCCCTTAGTTATCTGTTTTTGAAAATAGACATTTCATTTGGTACAAACATAAATAAAATGTGAACGCTTATTATGAGATGGAGGAAGTATTTTTAAAGCAATCAAATGGTCTTTGGCCTAACGGTATGTGAGTCATTGGCTTCTTAGAAGAAGAAGGGTTCAAACCTCACCGAATGTGAGGAGGGTGTGTGAGTTTATTTGTTTATTTTATGTATATAAATATTATATACTTCAAAAAAATATTTAAAGCATCTCCAACATATTTTTTAAAACAAATAAAACGAGGCTTTTGTTTTTATTTTTCGCTCGTGAATGAAAAAAACTAATTTTTTATTCATAACCACTAATTAGATTGAATTATTATTATTTTATATATATAAAATTAAAAATGTATTGCGATGATAAATTTATAAAATATTTTAATAATATAAATGACGTTGAAATCTTTAAAATAAATAATCTATTAAAGTTGAATGTAATTCTTCTTTGAGGTTTGACTTTTTTACTTAGGCAAATTGCATGAAAAAGTAACGTACTTTAACTTGCTTCTTATTTTGGGTAACATACTTTCAGAACCATTTTGATATATAAGATGTAAAGTTTTACACATTTAAGTACTCGGGTAAACAGTTGAAGTATAAACTGGTTATCATGCTGATAGGACGAGTGATGAGATGGAATTGGGTTGCATTGCAAATAATACTGAGTTGGATATCACAATTTCTAATAAACCATAGGGTTGAAAACCGTATTTTTGAAAACCATAGGGATAAATCCATAATTTCTAATAAACCATAGGGACTAAAAATGTAACTTACTCTATTATTTGATAAAAAAATGTTGATGATATGGGGTTTGTATGTTGATAAAGAAGCAACGATGAGAAAGATGGTGACGAAGGACATTTTGGACTTTTGTTTGAATGACGTTTTGTGTTTACCATTTTTTATTTCTATAAATAGAAACCATCACCTTCTATTTTTAGAATTCGAACATGTTCGTTTTGATTGTATCTATCTGTCTATTTATCTTTCTGTTGTTTTCATTTGATCAGTTCATTATGTTTGGTGATTGGACGATAAAATTGGCGAAAATGATTAAATTCGTGCAACGATAAATGTGATGTTTGATGTACAGTAATAAAATATGTGTAAATGGCGGAACAAAATATCGTTCTTGTTTCTTGTAATAGAAAACGTGCATTAGACTGTTGAAGGTAGAGCATGACAAGGAAAAGGGTATTCGAACTGTCGGACATGAAACCTGATCTGATACTACGATCAGTCTTGCACGTTTTGTAACATCACTCCGACAAAATGGGTGGTTTAGGATGTCTTACTTTCGTTGAATGTCTTAAAAGTTAAAAGGGTTCAAACTTCACCAAAGATGAAGAGTGTTTTAAAATAAATATATATGTATGTCCTATATCTATATTATATTATAAAACATCTGACAAAAACTTCTAAAAATCATTTTTTATGTATAAAGTACTATTTATTTCATGCATATTACTTAAAATTCAAGATTATAAGTAGATTGTGCGTAACTAAAACCTATAAAAGCTTTATTTTTGAATTTATGTGACTAACTGTAAATAAACATAATTAAATACATGATAAACATTTCATTTAATTATAAAAAATCTAAATTAGATCACTGAGTTCTAACAAAATACTTGGTTATTATCATTATAAAAAAATTTATTATTATACCAAAAATATATTGCTTCGTTATTAAACTTAAAAAATTATATTATTAAACCAAAAATACGTTTGTTTTGTAATAATCCATTAATAAAAATGTTATTTAATTATTTTTATAATTATTTATATTTTTTATAAATTATTTATAAATAATGGAACCCAATTTCATTCCCTTCCAAATCCTACAAACCGAACACACCAATTATTTTAAATTCATTCCAATCCAAATCCCTCTGTAAAATCCAAATCCCTAAAAAACAATCATACAAACTAAACAAACCCTAAATATCCCAAAATCCCACCCATCCTACTGATGAAATTAAGACACTATTAATTCAGATAAAAATAAGACTTAAGCATTTGGTACAAGAGATTTTGAGCTGAATTCAAAAAGATCCTCAATTAAGACACCAATTAAGGAAGTAGAAAGTTACACATAATACATATAGGGTGCCACCAAATGAACCAAGTTAACTCCACCCATGGTCCTAGCCAAGGGGAAGATGGTTTAACCTTGGACATTACAGACCACATCTTATGATCAACTATACATACTCACTAATCCACATACACATACAAACAGTAATTATATCGCAAATTAACGCTCAAGATCGAGCAATCCCTACTCGCATAACGAACCCCCCAAAACAGAAAAACATCGAACCGTATAACCTCTCGAACACAACATCGATCAACTAATTCTCCGCTTAATTAATGATCATCAGTCGAACTCTGGGTCAGCGAATCATATTTAACTGCAAAAAGGAAGAAGCTTTCACGGTCCCGTTTGATGACGACGTTGTTAGCGGTGCTTAAATCGCGGTTATTTTGGTTGGTGACGAAGGAGAGCTTCTGGCCGATTGGGAGGTGCTACGATAGCTTCGTTTCGCAGGTTTCTTGGCTTCGGGTTTCCCAGTGGCGGGTTGTCGTACCTTCACTCCCCTAATTAACTGCACAAACGATAAATTTACCTTCGTTTAGCAGATTAATTACTCTTCAAAAGATCTCTTAAACAACATAAAGGAGTTACGCTCCAACATATATCGAGGAGAAATGGTCAAGGTCGAACCAACGCGAGACTCGAACACGCCCCCACCCCGCTCGAACAGAGGCTAGACGGGCACAAATTGTCCGAGCGTCGAAAAACCAATGTGAGACTCAAACACGCTCCCACCCAACTCCAGAGGCTAGACGGGCACAATTGTCTGAGAGTGTCGAGTCCCTAAAGCGACAGATGTTGGTTCTGTTACCATATTACTCTATGTTACCCTCTGAAAAGGTTCCACATATTCTTACACACTAATGAGTCGGTGGCTTGAACCTATAGATACAGTAAACGAGAATAATATATATCTAGAAGAGAAACGTATAGATACAAATCCTTACGTATTTGCCACACTTGACATCGGAGTACAGCACAATGAAATCGCCCTCTTGGAGCCCGTTTGCTTTCACGAAATCTCCTGAATCATAAATGCAATTTAGGCAAAAGAACAAAAGCAAAATATACTTGTCTATATATAGTTTTATTTACAAACTCTAACCATTAGTACAAACTATTAATTGAGATATTTATAGAAACAATGAGGGTTTATTTATTATGATTTTGACATTTTTGAAAATTATCAGAGCCCATTTGTTATAATCAACGCTTTACATCGGAAAACAACCAAGATATTCATTGAACTAGATGAACGGTTGAGATTATTAGTTCACAAATTTTGTACTACTATGACGGTTTGTAAATGATCGTCTCTCTCTCTCTCTCTATACATATATATATATGTATATATATATATATAGAGAGAGAGAGAGAGAATGAGGTTCATATGAGAAGAATAACCAAACAAGAGAATAAAAAACGGTTACCCCCACACCCTCGGTGTAAAATCACGTGATTTTGCACATGATTTGTCCGTTTTCATGTTCTTTTATTTGGTCATTGCTCTCGGTTAATTGAACCTCCCCCCCTTCTCTCTCTATATATATAGCATACGATAACGAGTGTATTATGGTATTAGAGAGGGTCGTAAAAATACGAACCTGTGTTTTCGAGGAGGTACATCCGGCTTTTGTTGTTTGGCCAAAACCTGAGGCTCCACAATTCAAGAAGAAAACACAAAGACATAAAGAAACTTAGTTTGATGCTCAACAATTGAACTCAAAATAAAGAAACTTTGGTATTTCATGTTCTTGTTAATTTGATGCAAAGATTTCGGTTTTTTGTAGCATCGAGATCGATAAGAAAAGGAATTGAAGGCGGATAAAATTAAATTAAACAATGGTATATACCTATATCGCATGTTCCACACTTGAGAAGTCCCGATATCCTCCATGGCAATCGAGATTCCGTCTCTCGAATCGAGATCTGGGAGGTGACTCTCGGCTTCTTTCTGGGAAATTGAAAGCGGTTTTCGATTAAAGTATACGGTTTTTACCAAAATAAACAAGTAAGATCCTCGAAGATCGATTAAATCATGCGGAATTTAATTAAATTATACTAAAATAAACAACTAAGATCAGCAAAGATTGATACCTTCGGCAGCACGATCCTCCCCAGACTTCCGACATCGCTTTGCTTCAATACTTTCTGGAGCAGAAACTTCAAATTTTTCTCGGTCTTTAATCCCTGATGATCAAATTAAGTATTGATATCATATACGGAGAGGGAGGGAGGTTTAGGGGAAAACCCATAAAAAAAAATTAAAAGTTGAGGAACACTCTGGTAATCATTCATCTCGACGGTATGAAGAGCATGCCCATGTTTATATAAGTAATTGAAGTTGTTTCTTAGTTTCTATGCACATTTGCATGTTATGTCCATGTGAATACCAGACAAATTGCTTACAAATTACTTATATGCTCGTGTGCATGCTATTCAAATGAACTGTAACGATTTTGGTCCTCTTTTTTCAGTTTTCCCAAGTGTGACCCTATGTAAGTGTATATGTATATGTTTACAAATTGAAAAGAAAAATTAAAGATAATGTCGATTTTCGCACACCTGACGTTTATCGGAGGAAGTTTGTTTGGATTGGCGGTCACTGGTCTGAGGGATTCTGGAGGGTGGCCGCTGCGGTGCTTCCATAGGTGGTGGAAGGACGGTGGCAGCAGGGGTGGTGGCAGAAGGCGTGGATGGCCAGTACAACCAGTTTCCGCCCTGTGATTTGCCGGAGCAATTGTCATCAACGAGCATTGTGTGTGGGTGATGATCGGAGTTTGCCACCTGATTGGGATGGTTGTGTTGCTGATTCTGTCTGGAATGGTGGTGGTGGTGGAAGTAAGTCCGCCGCTGTCTGGCCATTCGTTTCTTCCTAGCTTCTTTAGTTGCCGACGAACCCAACCTCATTAGCCGCTGTTCTCCGCCACCACCACCTCCTCCTGCGAACACCGGGTTATACGGGTACTGATCGGTGTAAGCAGAAGGTAACGGCATAATTGGTGGACCATAATTGTTGCCCACATCGGGAAATTGGTTGTTATACGGAGATGCTGCCGCCATGGTGATTTGCGACGGATTCCATGACGGTGCAGATTCGAGAACTTGATATTCACCAGACCCCGGATTATTATACGGGTTAAGATGGCAATTCATAGCGGAATTGTAATCACCACCACCCATATAAGAAAACGTCCCAGATGGTTGCGCTGCCACCATCGCCATCCCGTTTGTTGCCTGATCCGCCATGTACGGCGGATACGGCAACGGCGGAGGGATCCATGGCGTCGGAGAGAATCCGTGGTTCATGTCATTAGGTTGAACCCAAGAATTGCAGTGGAAAGGTGGTGGAGTTGTTGGCGGTGGTGGTTGAGATGGGAGTCCTTGGAAATGCTGTAAAGGGTATTGGGTGGTGGTTGCGGCAGCGGTGGGGGTGGGGGCTGTGGCGGGGGCGGGTCCTTCCACGCCCCCGCTCGCTTTTCTTTGAAGTTGGTGTTGTTGAACCCATTCAAGAATTAACTTCAAGAGTTGCTTTTTGCCTTCTTTAGAAGATCCCAATCTTTTCGAAGCACATTCGACCGTCGATTTCTTGAGTTTAATGTTTCTCATATCTTCTGCTGATATGAATTCTTTGTTCGATTTCAACCACTCGAAGAACACCGCCCCCAGTTCATCCAACCGCCCTCCGCCTCCGACCCCGCCGCCGTCCTGCACCACCTCACTACCGTTGCTGTTATTCAAACACTCTTGTTGCAAATTCTCCGGCGGGTTTTGTTCGAAAATCGAAGAAGGATCCCAGATTTCATTACCATCAATCAGATCCATATAACCAAAATTCTCCATAACATCCATGCAATCAATCGACCCACTTCCATCCGCCATCTCCAGCGGCCGCCCAACCGCTTCCACCACGGCCGTTGACATCACCGCCGCCGGCATCTCTTCACTCCGATGACATCTCTTCCTCCTATCAACCCCGAGTTCCTCCAACTGATCATCCTCCTCCTCCGTAACATACTCCGACTTCAGCACCGCCCAAGACGCAGCGGAGGAAGTCGACGAAGACGCCGACGCTGACGACGCGGAAGAAGTGGTGGTCGCGGACGATATCGGCTTCGCCGGAGCAGGATTCGAAGACGAAGACGACGAAGAAGACATGCATGGAAAATCAGGAATTTGAGGGAACTGATCATTGTAAAACATGGAAGGATCATTCATTTCATGAAGAAGATTCTGCTGTTGAGCTCTAACATCAATCTCCCAGATCCCTCTTTGATCATCGGTGCTGGTCATCATAGTCGTACCCAATGCATCAAAACCAGTACTTTTACAGTTTTCTTGTTCATCAATAACATGATGATCATAACCCTCCATACGATGATGATCATCAACATCCTTTTCTTCTTTAGGATACATAATGATTTCTAGAGAGAGAAAGTTAGATATAGAAAGAGAGAAGGTGATGAGGGTGGCAAATCTTGTAGTACAACTTCTTGATGATAATCAAAGTACAGAAAGCAACATAAAACATCTGGATTCAAAGATCACATCCAGTACTGTACTCTCTAACCTTAAACAAACTCCCAACTTGCTATATATATATATATGTCTGTATATATATATTATTTAATTCACGTAAACACACATATCACTATCAGAAAACAACATAATTTCCACCATCTATACACACATTCCATAATCAAAGATCTCAAAGATCAAAACAAGACAAAAAACCCAGAATCAAAAACCAGAGATTAAGCTTTTCGCTTCATCACCAAGATCTCAATGGTTAGACCTGAACCAGCGGAAGAAGTCGCCGGAAAAAATGGAGAAAAAACCTCAAACCACCACAGATTAGAGGAAGAAAAATTGTGGGTTTGGGGGGGGGGGGGGGGGATGGAAATGGGATATTTCTAAGGTGTAACGAAGTGGGTTGTTCTTGAAGATAAGTTTAAATTCTTTACATCTTTGTTTGGTTCTTCTGGTTAGAGAGAGAGAGAGAGAGAGGAAAACCAGGGGCTGAATGCTAGTTTTAGTTTTTCTCCACTACTTGTAATCTCCGGATTGTAAGCAAGAAGCCATGCGGCTGTTTGTGAATGGTGGTTTGCAAGCGGTGGCTCAGTCTTTTTTTCCTCTTGGTGACGGTAAGCAGCTCAATTCTCTTTCTTTCTTTGCCTGCGACTTATTATTAAAACCATATGATCACATCAGCAGCAACAGCAGCGATGGCCATCCACATGACTATGAATTCTTCACATTCATTTATTTATATTTCATTTTTTTCTTTACATAAATTCCAAATTAACTTAACTGGTGCATTTTTGGATTTTACCCAACATACTATTTCTGAATTTTATGATTTTATATTATATTTTAAATTACATATATATATATATATATATATATATATATGAAATCAGTCTGTTTTCGTAAGACCTATAAAACCATTTTTTATATTTGGAACATTACAATAAAATGCTGTGAAGTGTCTTTGTGGTAAAGGTTCGCTTTTTTTATCTTCAAAACGCTTTACTAAAAAATTTTGAGTGTAAAAAATGGTATTTTAAGTCTCATAAAAACAAGCTGGTTTCGTATAAATCTCATCCTATATATATTATATGATGAAATAAATGATTTTAAATAATTTAATATTATAATATAAAATAAATAAAATTTCAAATTAAATATTTGTATATTTTAGTGTAAAAAGTTATTGAAAATAGGTGAATATGGTGATACTTTTAATGAATTATTATGTAGTGTTTTGTTCAAATAAGATTACTGAAATTTTGTTTTTTTACAAGTTATGGTGGAATATGAATCAATTACAATTTTGATAATATTTAATGGGATAAATTAAATAGGAACCACAAAAGTATTATGTCCATGTGAACTAGTTGTCTTGTTTCTATTCATATGTGAATAATACATGTAAACCATCGAATGTTGTTTTATATATGAAACATTTAAGATTGTTTTGTATATGAAAAAAATATAAAAATATGTTTCATATATGAAACACACATGTACACAAAAATAAAACATGTGAAATAACTTGAATCCGATCTTAATATTAGATTCAGTGAATGATTTGTATATTGGTCTCGTATACATTTTGATTTTTCCCTCTCTCTCTATATGTGTGTGTGTGTGAGAGAGAGAGAGATTAATCGACATGAGAGAGTTTATTTAGTATATGGAGGGATTAATTCAACATTCTTCTTTACATAATCATCTTTGCATTATATGTCATTCGTGTAGTCTAAGAGACAGTTTACCAAACGTCTACTTGAGTAAGCGCTTACCAAGTCACATTACTTTAGCAGATGAATACGGTAAAGATCAAGAAGCTTATCCGATAAGAGCAAGACAAGGACCAATAGTCTTACCCTGTAAGTGAGGGTGGCAACTCTTACTACGATTAGTTCTTACCGGGTAAAAATTATAGCGTGGTAAGTAAGTGATAGTGTTGAATTCTGTCGGTACCGGTTAAATGTTTGGTAAACAGCTCCTAAAATATTTTAGAAATTCAGTTTCATTTTTTAATCATCCAATTTCTACAACTTAACATCGATCGATCCCATTTTGCTAATTTATCTTTAAACCAATACACACACTTATCCTAGACTCCTAGTTGATCTAATGGTGTAGTAGTGATCTATGTGAATGCGAGTTTCAGTCAGTTTGAAAACGTTTGAACAATCTAAGTAAGACCGGGGCCGTTTACCAAACGCTTACACGAGTAAGCACATACCAAGTCACATTACCTTATCGAATGAATATAATAAGGACCAAAAATCTTACCTGGTAAGAGCGAGACAAAGACCAAGAGTCTTACCCGGTTAGTGAGGGGGACGAATTTTACCACAGTGAACACTTATCGAGTAAATTATTGTGTACGATATCGTTTTGGTATACTAAAATCTTACCCAATATGTAATTGATAGTGTTAAATTTCATTGGTAAGCACTTACTGGGTAAGTGTTTGGTAAACGGCCTTAAATGATTTTAGTTTGTAAAATATCAATCTGTTCCGAGTGTTTTAAAAGTATAACCCAAACCATACGTGTTGGGTTGGATAGCTCTAGTGGCGAATCCAGAAATTTTTGTGATGGTGGGGGTCGGAATTGAAGTAACGATCACATGTCCACATGGTTGACAATGTCCTCTACTTAAATAGTTTCGTCTTATTTATCTAACTAACAAACCCTGATCTAAACAACTATTAACTACCAAAAAGAACTTAACGATTATACGTTAACTAACAAATTCTACCCTAACAAGATCAATGGTTGCGTATGAATTTGTTTTTCAACACAAATTTAGTTGAAAACTTATGTGAAATAAGAATAAACAAACAGATGATTAAAAACATGAATCATATGACCTAAAGCTTTGACAGTAACATTTACTTACAAGAAAATCGATTTCTTTTTTTAGGTTAAGCTCTATCGGTAATTCAGATACCACTATACCCATGATCTGTTTGGTAAGAATGTTAATTTGCAAGGTGGTTGATTGTGAACAAAGGCACAAAATTGAGCCGTTGCTCATTGGTAGAAGGCAAAAACGGTGAAAAACTAGTAAAGACGGGTTAAGTCGGTTTTTTGACAAAAACGAGGATGGTTAGATTATGTTGGTTAGATTATGCTGGTTGGGTCAGTTTTTATGCGTAAAGTACTGTTTATTAAAGCATATTACTTAAAACTCAAGATTGCAAATAGATTGTGCGTAAGTACAACTTATTAAAGCTCCCTATCTGAATTCGTGTAACAAAATGCAGATAAACATAATCAAATACAGAATAAATATCTTATTTTAAATATAAAAAATCTAAATTATCAATTAAGATAATCATTGAGTTCTAACAAAATTTTTAATTATTATCTTTATAAAAAATTATATTATTAAACCAAAAATAAATTACTTTATTATTAAATCTAAATTAACGTATAATAAAAAATTGAATTAAAAAAAATTACATAACAAAATGATAATTATCAAATAGTTAGTTTGATACTAATATCAATTTATTTTTTAAATTTTTTATATCATTTTCAAATTTCATTAAAAAATAAAAACATTATTTTTTTTTTAAAACTATATAAAATCGTATCAACAGAAAAAATAAAAATTAAATATTAAAATAGAGATTTATCTCACTGTATTCTACAAATACCCTTTTAATATCATTGTAATCAAAAGGGAAGAATAATTGATAAATTATTGCAATTGAGTCAATCTTTATCCAGATAGCGATGACCATCCAATGAATTACTCTTGTTTTTATTTTATTTTTATTTTATTTTTATTAAATCTATTTCACGATTCGATAAATAATTTGATAAGTTAATGATTTTATTTTTCATATTACAAATTAATCAATATGTTAATAACTAAATTATTGTTTGATAATTGTTAAATGGTTTGGTGCAGAATGATTAAGTGGCTAGAATGTTTAAAAGACTCTCATGATATAATGCAAAATGAAATATAATTAGTTCGGTAATTGTTTACAATAGAATTAGGGGCACTGAATGGTTAAAGAATGCCCAGGATACAAAATCATTTAAAAGGTTGTGGAACCATTAAGAGACAAACTTTTTTTTGTCAAACAATAATTACTTCTTAACAATTCAGAGATTGTCTTTTAACAAAACTATTATAAGAAGTATACAAAACAACCCTTAAGATAAACATTGATATATTACTTAACATCACATAGATAAGGGCTAATCAAATGAGAACTGTTTTGTTTGTAGTAACCGTGAGTTTCAACCTCAACCACAAATCAAATGTTAAATTAAGAAATTAATAATTTTAGTAATTTTAACTTAAAATATTAATTATGGGCATTTTAGAGATTTTATAAATATCCTTTTTCATCTCTCCAGCAAATTTTATGCGGTGAACCTTATTCCGATGAACCTTATGTAAACACAAGATACACACTGTGATACCTACAAATGATTTTCATTGTAATACCCAGATATACTACAAGATGCACAATGTGATACCCTTTATAAAACAATGAAAAAATAACGAAAATGCACACTATGATACATTTCATAAAAAAAAATTGTGATACACGTGAAACATTTTGATCGTTATCACTATGATACACTTTGATTCACAAACGTCTTTAAAATACGATGTATATTAGGTAATTGATATACTAGATAACTAATTTTAATTAAATATTTCCTTCTAAAAATTTAATTAAATATTTTGATTAGTTGTTAAAAGTATAATTATTATAGGGAAAAGTACAATAAAAACCAATGAACTTTCTTGTTTGGAATGATTAAGTCCTTGAACTTTTTTTTGGAACAAATAAGTCTTTGAACATTCCAAAACATGTTAAATAAGTCATTGAACATTCCAAAACATGTTAAATAAGTCATTGGACAATTTTTTATAACAAATAAATCCTTGGACATTCCAAAATATGTTAAATAAGTCATTGAACATTCCAAAAAAATGTTAAATAAGTCCTTGGACAATTTTTGGAACAAATAAGTTCTTGGACATTCCAAAAAATGTTAAATAACTCCTTGGACAATTTTTGGAACAAATAAGTTCTTGAACAATCCAAAACATGTTAAATAACTTCTTGAACTTTTATAAAACATGTTGGATACATTCTTATGACTTGTACAACTAGTTAAAGTGGTA